ATTCAACAAATATTCAAGTGCCTGTTTGGTGCCAGGCACTCTATTATGCCTTATCCTTTGGGAAAATTGTCAGGGAGAGAAGTTGGGCTACCTTTGCAACCTGAAGTCTCATCTAGATGGGAAGATTACACTCCTTTTATAGACAGGTTTATCTGTTGCCATGAGAACAACATCCAGAGCATAGTTCAAGCTTCGGGTCCAATAGCTTGACTGTCCATATCACATTGTGTTGATTGCATAAAGGGTTATTACTAGAAGGCAGGACTTTTATTCAAAACCTTAGCCAGCTAGATATACGTAAGCCATGTTATGAGAGGAAGGTTAACATCTGCTCCTCACCTACTGACATCCAAAGAGCTGCAGAGACTCTGTTCTCAGTATCAGCATTGGTGATTCGCAAGCAGTTCCAGCTGCATGTTTCCTGGATTTGCCTATCTGTGGATTCTCAGGATGGTGCAATGCTCACTTTACCTCATAGGGCCAACTTTATAAATAAATCCTTGGTCCAGGATCAGCATTCATACATGCCTTACTATTTCAGAAAGAGCTCTTTGAATCCAACAAATACCATTTCGGTTCTAAAGTGCCTAGAGTTTAAGGTACAGTCTGCCTTTGTTACATAATACTTAAAATAAGTTGCTGTTCAATTCGTGTATAAATAGTTAATTCTTGAATGATCAAATACTGATTATTAATGCCGTTATTTTCTCTGACTAGACTCTTCATCTTGCACATATAATTAACTACCACCCAGTACTTAAGGGATGAGGTGGAATTCCATAGTCAACTTTGCTATCTTTTAATAGCATTGCTAAAATGTACTGGAAGATGATTGTAAATCTAGATATGATTTCAACTCATCCAAAATAAATACAAAATTCTGTAACATCTAACAGTTCCCACAAACTCATCACAAAGGGAAAAATTACATAAAAATAATATTAAAACTAGACATCTATATTTCCACAAAATTATTATGGGTATACGACATTCTAACCAATACATGTGGTAAATGAACAAAAGTATAATGGTCACTGCAGCAATTTTATTTTTAATATATCTGAAAATTAAGTGTATTATTTCTCTAACAATGCAAATTTAAAAAGAACAACATTAGTGAAACAAAGCATACCATATTACAGGTAGAAACTGTCCCTCCATGGAAGTATCAGCAAAAAAATGAACATTTTAATCAGCTTTGCAACAAATAAAAATATATTTATTTGGTTCTATTTTCAATATTACCAGGTTACATTGCCATCTACCTGAGAGTTTTAAATGAACTAATTAAAAGCATTGAAAAATTTTTAGCTTTCTTACAGCACTATCAGCAGCACATACAATGAAAACACCTATTTTAAAAGACAGTTTAAAATTTAGGCCTATATTTAATAAGACATACAAAAAGATAGGAGAAAATATATCTGTACCACTTAAATAACAGAGTGCAACAAAGTATAATATTAATTAAGAGAAAACGGTTACAATGGTTTCAATTCTGTTTCATTCCTTACTAAGCCTTTCAACTGAAAAGTACAGGATAAGTTGTTCTCTTCCTTATTCAAGGCCCACACACAAAAGAGGCTGACCCAAATCTAAAAGTCTTTACCACAAGATGGATATAAAACTCCAGGCTTGTTCAGAATATCAACATAAAACCAGTATTTTACGTTCTTCTAGCTCTGAGGATGGTTTTTAGCAAACAAATCAAACAAGACAAAATGTTATATAAAAATGACTTAGCACCAGTTCTATTATACAAAAGAAGCACATACTGTATTCTGTAATTTATTTTTATTTCTTTACTGAGCAGAAAATTATTTCCATGCCAAAAGAAACTGCAAAGAAAACTATCAAAGGACAGAAGGGCTTGGGGTGCAGCTGAGTGGTAGGGGTTCTATCCCCAGCACCATAAAAAAAATTCAAAACAGCTTTCCTACTTTCCAATACAGACTCAAAATTTTTTGTTGTTCTCATTGTTGTTTGTTTCAATGGCATAAAACATAAAAAAATAAGGAGACAAGTCTTCACTAGAGAGTAATATCTATTTACCAGAAAATTTTCTAACAAAATACCAGCAGTTAGTAGTTTAAAAGGCTACTCTGGATGATGGTACTTTGAACAAGAGTGTTCGCTGCTAGTCCTCAGAGGAGAAAAGGCACTCGCCCCATGAGCAATTTTTCAGATTTCAGAAGTCAAACCTAGTTTTGCCAGCACAGTTACTGGCTTGAAAGTGGAATGGAATACAAGAGAGCCAATAATAAATAGGTTGTTATCTTACTAGTAATAATCACAATCTTTGATGATATGATCATTTCTGAGGTTTTGTATGTCCTGACCACCTCTATTAAAATGTGACCAGGAAGATCAGTGAAACAATTCTTGGCTTCTACTTCAGAAAAGTAAGGTTCTGTAGCCACTTCAGACACCAGGTTGCTTAAGAGGCTGGTTATGGGCACACATCGTGTGGCATTATTCTGGACAGCCACACCGACTGGCATCCCACATTGTTCTATTCACTGGTGCTCTTCTACAGAATATCAAATTAAGACTGTGAAATGAATTGTGTCATATGAATATGTTGTTCTCCACTGCTTCTGTGGATTAAAATCACCTTTTCCTGTTGCAGGCAATCTTGAATCTCACTGATGTCTTCAAATGCCAGGCCAGGTATAGCTTTGTTGGGGAAAATAAAGTCATTTACTACCCTGAGGCCCTAAATCCAATATAAGGCAGAATAAATCAGCCAAGCTTTTTTATAGAACATGCACTTCACTAAAAGGTAAATCTTTAATATTCTATAAAATATCTCAATTTAAAAACATATTTAAGAAATCCAAAACAAGTAAAAAGATAAATTGTTTATGTTAGAGTTTACAAATCCTGTATACATACAATTTTTCCACAGCTAGAAAACTATGGCCTTTTCTCTTAAATCTTCCTAACTCCATGGCACTATTGAGGACTGAGGAGGCACTTGTTACTATTTTATAAAAGTCATTTGGGGGATACTCAGTGACTTTTTACAAACTGATGTCACCCGACCCTGAGCGAAAGGATTACATAACTTGAAATGGAATACCCATCATGTGCTCTCTTCTCAAGTGCCATTATCGGTGCCCCCAGGATCTTCAATATTTCCCTGTGGAAATATCCCTGATTATATCACTTCAATCCTGTTGCTTTTAAAGGATGGAAAGACATGAGGATCATTATTTAAAACTCTGCTAATGAGCCTCTGACTGTTTAAACCTCAAAGGAAAACCCTAGCCCCTTTCAGATACTTCCAAAATGTTGTCTCTAAAAGGACAATTCTTTGACTACTATGAACACATCAGTAAGATTAATTTACTTCTGGTGGGTGCTCATGAAATTCTTTAATGTCATAAAGATGTCTGTAACATATTCTAGCTGTTATCCCTCTTTTTAGCTACAATTACTAAACATGAGTCAGTAGCTTTTTACTGCATGTGATATTTCTGACCAAATCACAGAACATGCAAAAGGAGCCTTATTCATTCACTATTGTCATTTGAAGGTCGATGATGATGATGATGATGATGATGATGATGATGTGACAGCTAAAGAACCGTGGAGGGGCTATCTCAACGTTAATCTGCTCCTTTACTGGCACCAAATTAAAGCTGTAAAAAAAAAAAAGGTTTATCTTGAAGTTTTGCAAGTGCATTGTTACCAAGCTTCAGAATCTGGAGGTTTTATATTTCCAAAGCTTGCCAATGCATCTGCAGTCATTTTGACCTAAGCTTTAAACTTTGGCAAGGTTTTGCATTTGACCCTGCGCAAGCTCTTGCTCTGTAGTTGCTAACTACATAGCTATATTTGGTTTTAAATTTTTCTGTTTATGAGTTGTTTATTGTAAATATGGGTGTTCCTGATCAAACTGCCCATCAAAACATTTGAAAATATAAAGAACTAGTGTAGTTGTTTCCTAAATAGCTTCCACAGTCAATGTGCTTGTTACTATTATGTCTAATATAATAATTATCAGAATTCAGCATGAAATCTTTAGAATTCTCATGTTTTTTAAGCCTTCTTGCATCCTGGTTGTATTCTGACTTCCAAGAACTTTCTCTTCTTTTGGGATAATATCCCAAATATAAAGCATTAGCACTTTTTGATGATGGCGTTGGCACATGAGAGGGTCTACAGTTCACTTTGTGGTCCAATATGCTACCACTAACCCTCCTCTTCTTTCTTGTGATTTCTTCTAATTGATCACTGGAACTGAATTCATGGTAGTAGTCTTCTTCAAACAAGTAGCTAGATGTTAGTTTTTCCCTCTTTTTGCTGTTGTTCTCATCTCTAATAGAACTGCTTTCATCCTCAAGCCATGAGCATCTTGGTTCATACTTAGACCTCTTGCCTGGTGTCCTAAGCTTGTATTTGGAGTATTTTTCCTTACCATCATGTTTCCACTCTGAATGCAAGGTCTGATGACTTGACCTAGATTTTTGTTTGCAAGCGATGACTTCATCATTGTCAAGAGTTCCTTCTTCAGGGGAGCTATGATATGTGGCCACAGATTCCTCTTTCTCCTCTTCATTTATGCTAAGAATTTCACTGAAGCACTCAGAATCACTACTAATTTCCTCTAAGAAATCTGTCAACTTCAAATCTAAGCCTACTGATCTGAAAGGTGAGGAAACTTGATGTCTCCTTGTGGATTTGGAATCACTGGCCTGGTGAGTATGAGTCTTTTCCAAGAGATGCCACTTTGCATCAGTTGGGAACAGTTGATCACCAGCTTCACTGGCTGTATCCATGCAATCACTTTTAAATCTCTTAGTACACTCTTTGGTATAATCCACTTTTCCTCTCTTTTGTGATTTGTGCTCAGGGTCTTGCATGCTTCCTGTTGACCAGTGATCATCTTCCTGGATATCTTCTCTTCTTTCCAGGTTTTCCATTTGGCTCAAATTGGTTGAGGGATGCCTTTGTTTTCTCAAACTGATCTGAAATCCATTTCCTTTAACCTGGACATCCCTCTGCCACTGACATGTATTTGTTATGTGACTTGCTTCTAGGAAGATACGAGAATATTTTGGAGTCTGATAATAATTTAATAAATAGTCAATAAATTCGTCTGTTTCATAGATCTTCTGTTTTCTGCCATGGTCTCTCTCAGATAATCTGGAAGAACAGGATTTATGAGCACTGTGAGCACTGTGGTGCTCCTCATTTTCAAGAGATTGACCTTGAATCATTGTAATTTGCAAGGAATTCGGGTCAGAGACCAAGCTGTAATTGTGTTTGTCAGTTAATAATTTTCTAGTTCTCTCTTTTCTAGATGAGTATCTTAATTTCTTTCCCCCAAGACAATGGGAAGATTTATGTAAGCGATTCCTAGTTCTTTTCCTCATTTTTCGTTTTTGTTTATTGTCAGCCTTGGCAACCTGATATTCTGGCATTTCTTCTTGATTTGGAAGATGCTGAGCATTTAACTCTTCTTCCTCCCGAGTTTCCAGTGTGTTCCCTGGAGTATGACTGGCTTCAGGGCCTGTAATATCAACCTCCTCTAGGCAAAATTGGGTGGATCCCTTCAAAGAAAAAAGAAGTCAAAAGCCTCACATGAAAAGCTGAACAGATTAAAAACTTCTAAAGAAAATCAGGCTCTCTCATGTTGTTCTGAAGAGATTCAAATACCCAAGATAGATCCAAATTAAAACAATGTTACACTGAGAAAATAGGAAGGAATAAATTAAATGTCTTTATCTAATATGGCCTGCTTTTATTTAGTTGATACCCATTCTTATGTCAGAAGGCACCACACTTTACATAGATGTCAAAGCACGCAACTCTCTTTGCATGTGTTCAAAAATTGATGTTCTAGGAATTGTAGTAAGAGCTAGAGAGTCAAAGAAGAATTAGGCATGCTCTATAGACCTCCCAGAAAATTCTAGCACAAGAAAAGGCTGATGGGTGAAACGTGTGTCTATAAAGGTCACCTGGCTTAAAGAAAAACTATCTCTCTGCTGTGAATTCCAGCCTCTTATTACAGTTTGCAGGTAAAGGTGTCTCTTAAGTTGTCCCACCTTACCTGCTTGATTAGGAAGCAAGCCACTGGGGCTGTGGGTGCAGTTCAGTGTTAGAGCACTTGCCTAGGATTCAAGAGGCCCTGGGTACCATCCCCGGAATCAAAAGATAGAATAAGCAAGACATTAAGTAGTAAATATATCTATGACCGTGGTTCTACTGGAGGCTAGGTCTGTGATGCTGTCTGAACAACTGCAGAGCAAGTAAAGGTGCTGCCCACACTATCTCCCACCCTGGGAGGGTTTTACTGTGTTCCCACTGACACTTGTCACACCTCAGGGCACACTGCCTACCCACTGCCTGGGATTAGAATTTATACTGAACATAATGGGCCTAAGTATTAAGGGGGCCTAGAATAGACACCACACCCATTTAAAGAAATAAATTCTTTACAACTCATCACTCTTGGCTGTTATTAAGGTAAACTAAAAGGAAAAAAGATCCAGCTAGCTTTATTATAAACATAAACGTGAAATTTTGGGGTCCTCATTTTACTAGGTTGATAGTCCATGGTAATGAGGCCAAATAGATATAAAATTAAAGCATTCACTCTTCACATTTAAAAATACTGAATATGGATTTTAAATTAATATTTTGAGAGATTTTTCTGGATTTTTATCCAGGAATTCTGCTGTGTCTGTCTCTAGGAGCTCAGGAAGAAAAAGAAATACATTCCCAAATCTAAACTCTTCAAACAAAGCAATGGCTCTGTGAGGTAAGACATTCTCGACCAAATAGTTGAAGAGTAGACTAACAAGAGCTTGCATAAAGTTCAAGGCTTTCCCTTCTCCAAATCTGTTCCAGGTGAACAGCCAAGTCTGCAGAAGACTACAAACCTAGCACCCACACCTATCCACTGCATGCCCCTGGCATTGCTCATTACATGTGTTAGGAACTCAGAAAAGTAGATTAACTAGCTGAGTTGCTCTGGTATTACAGCCCTGAAGTTTAGAAATGCAAAGTGGGGAGTGGGGCCAGGGCTGAGACATAGGTCCTTTAGAGAATGTAGATATCCTTTTTAGAAATCCACAGCTGGGTTTGCTGGAGATCATTCTATTTTAAAGAAATTCCACTGAATACTCTGAGTCTCCCACGGAACCGATTTTCAACAGGCCTTGCTTAATTGCAAAGGTTGGGGCTCTGAAAGGTTAGTACGTACCCAAATTGAAGAACAATTGGATAACAGCCTTACTGAAATTTTCCTCAGGAGGACATGGAGCAACCGAAGGGCCTCCACCCGCCTCTGAGCCAGCAGGTACTTCCTCTCCTCCCACTCTTCTGAAGAGTCCAGTTCCTGGGGCACCTCAGCTTTGGTTTTAACCTTCTGTCTCCTCTGCCGATGGTTTCCCATTTCCTTCAGAGCTCTCCTCCTGACCCTGGCTTTCTTCCTCTTTTCCTGGGCTTTCCTCTCTTCGTCTTTTCTTTTTCTGGATAATGATTAAGATGAAACCATTTGAAAGTTTTATTTTTAGGCCTTTGCTCCCTTCTACACACGCATACACCAGGGGAAGACAAGTCAGTTAGGTTTCTAGAAATCTACCACTGCTAACCCCAGGACCTGACACAGACAAAAAACAAAAAACAACAACAAAAAATCAAAAAACACTTTCAAACATCAGTCAAGGGAGAAAGATACATAATTTTGTTGATCAAATACAAGCACATAAAGGAGACATGAAGAGATGGGGGAAGGAAGGGAGGAGAGAGAAAGAATGGAAGAGAGGGAGGGGGCAGGGAAGGAGGTAAAGAGCAGAGCAGAGAGAAAGGGGTAAGACAGGAGGGAGGAAGGAAGAGAATTCACAGGAAGGGCTTCTAGTCTGTTCTCAGACCACAAGCAGGGACTATAGGACCCAGCTTTCAAGGTGATTTCTTTTTTCTTGAAATCAAAGCTGTATGTGGGTTGTTGGTTTCACATAGGCATATAACAATAAGTCAAGGCACTTAAAAAATCTTCAGGGTGAGAACTGACCCTTGGCACATTATAATAACCCAGAATACTATCATACTTCTGGTTTAGAAGAATATAGGTTTTTTTAAAACTGCTGTTCTCTGAAAATTAAAACTAATAAAGTTAGGCCTTATGGGAATGTGGGAAGGAGAAAAGGGGCAATTACTTGAGTCAGAACCTAGCCAAAAACCAGAGGATTATCCAAATGGAATGTTCCATCTGGAATCTGGGGGGAACTGTACCTTGACTGGGCTGAAATTTCAGCCAAGTTTCCTAGATGTGACCACACCTAATTCCTATAACCCTACCAGCCAAAAGGGAAGGGCACATGTAAGGGTACCCTTTATAACCTTTAAATTATACATACATACATATATATATGTAAATTATAGATATATAAATATATATATGTATATAAATATATAGGTATAGATATTTGCAGTACTAGGAGTTGAGCGTTGAGGCCAGGGCCTTTTCACTGAGCTACATACCCAGAACTGTTTTATTTTTTTGTTTTGAGACAGAGTCTCACTGTTATCCAGGCTGGGCTTGAATTTTTGATCTTCCTGCCTCAGCCTCCTAGAGTACTGGGATTATAAGCATGCACCACACCCAGCTGGAATGTTTTAATTTATATGCAAGAGGAAGGGCCAGGCAATAAAACTGGTTTTCAGGGCCCTGTAGTTCTAGCCCATCTGTTCCTTCTTAGCAAACCTTTGACAACCAATAACTCTTTCTAGGCTCTAGCTCCTAAATTTGGACAAAACAATAACTTCAAAAGAAGTAAATATGGAAGCTTCTTTACCTGACAGAAAGAATTTGGATCAACAGTGAAAACTATCCCACAAATCTATCACTTTTTGGCCTGTGGGTTACTTTGGTTACTGACCATTTTATAGAAGAAAATGTTTTCTAGGCCTATTTTTCATTTTAAATGGATAGGCTCAGTAATATTGGTAAATTATATATAAACTGGAAAAATTTCTAATTGAGTAGGTTAGAATTTTCACTATAAAAGTTCCTAGTTCTTTTTTTTAAATCATGTCTTCCTATATATCTTAATCTTACTCATCCCATTACTATTCATTACTTGTTCTCCTTTACAAAAATATTTCTTCAGTCCATTATTTCCAACTGTTTTGTCATTTGGCTTCATAACAGAGCAGCCTAAAGACTGTAGCCTTCAATGGAGTTTTCTAATCTGCACCGATACCTGCCCCCACCCCAATGTTATCTATGAAATCGAGGTATTTACCCAAAAGGATTAATCCATAAAGCAAAAGAAAAGGCTTCTTCATGAAATTTGGTCTACTCACCTTTCAGCTACTTCCTCTTCTCTTTTCTTTTCTTTTTTTCTTTCTTCCTCCAGCTGTTGTAATTTTAGCCTTTCCTGGTTTCTCTTCCTTATAGCTCCTTCACTGAAGTGTTTGGTTGTATCAAACATAACCTGCCCCCAAACAGTTTAGAGTTTGATTAGAAGGGTTTTTCAATTGACTTGGTATGTCCCAAGCCAGAAAGCTCAAAACAATATGGCACATGGAAATTCTAAACCAAATGAATGCAAAATGCCTCCTCTGCATCCCAGTATCCACCCTGTTCCACTGCTTGTTGGACATCGGCTGAACAGCACTTCTGGACACCAAGATTTTCTTGGTAGAACCCTTAAACAAGTTTATCAAACTACTTCCTTAACTTTACACAATTTAATCTGTCAGTCATATCTCAATAAAGATGTTTTTAAAACTTGAGGTGCTTACATTACATAGGGCCATAGGCAACATCACAGTGCCAACCTACACACAGGCTAGAAATACATTTCACCTCTGGTTTGTTATAAAAATCAACTGAGTTAAGCCTGGTGTGGTGGTGGAAACCTGTAATCCCAGCACTATGGGAGGTTGAGGCAGAGGGATCCCAAGTTTAAATCTCATCTGGAGAACTTAGTAAGACTGCCTCAAAATGAAAAGTATAAAGGGTTAGGGATCAGCATGAAAGCCCTGAGTTCAATTCCCAGTACCACATGTACAGAAAACAATCAACTGAGTTAATGTATTTTTTGAAAGCATCAAAGACAAACAAACAGGGGCCTGGTATGTAGCTCAGGGGTTCTGCCGCCTGCCTTGCAAGCACAAGGACTGGAGTTCAATCCCGGGTACCAAAAAAACAAAAAACAAAGAAAGACAAATAGTACTCAACATGTATAGTAGGGAACAGGAACAGGAAGCAAAGATGTAAGAAAAATGACTTAATAAGAGATAAGATCTGACCATCATCCTTACTAAACTACTTTTCAAAGTTTGAAATAAAGTGGTTGAGATAAGCAGTTTGCTTAAAAAAAAAGGGAGGCAGGAGTACCCATTTAAACACGTTTGAGAATGACAAACAAATTCATAACCATGGCTACTATTGAGGGGAGGGAGAGGAATGTGACTGAGGACTGAAACATGGAGGGGAGTACTCTCACTTTACTGGCAATGCTTTATTTTTTAAGCTTAGAGTGGTATATGGGTAGTTATAGTATTTGCTATATCTTTTGTCAGATTGAATATCTCATAATTTAAAAATATACATTTTAACATAAGTGGACACATGCACTCATATACACACACTCACACAGTGGTCGCTGTAAGCCCAAATGAATGCTCAAGATTGAGAGAAAAAGCAGTACTTAGTCTTACATCTTTCCCACTGCTGGACTAAGACTTCAAGAAGTACATGACCAAAGCATGCAGACATCAATGAGGTGACATAATTGGATAGACAGGCAGATTTTGAAAGTGAAGGATTTATAATCTTTAAGATTATGTGTTAGCAGTTTTTCTGACAGACATCCTGAAAACACAGGCTGTGACTCCAGGAGTCACGAGGCAATAAACTGCTGTCCTCGTAGTTTCAGACGGCATCTATCCCTTTCTCTCAACAACTTATCAAATATAGTAAGTATATGAGATAGCTCCATAGGGGCTTCAAATACTCCTTTAAAGCCCTCAAGAATCTGAGGCAGGAGGCCAGACTGTAGCGACCATCACTTTAAAATCACAGCTGGTGGGAATGCCTGATAGCAGAAGACTGATTATTCAAGTTAAGCTGAGTTCTCTTCTCAAACTTCCATTTATTGATCACAAAGGTAAAGACACAATTGATAGAGCTTGGTGACATCTAAGGAAATTTCTTTTAGATGCTTCCATTCAACTTTCACTCAGGATAACTTGAGCAGTGGAAAATAAAAGGTAGTTTGGCTACTTCTTACCTTAATGTTACATGCCAGAGCTTTCCCATCATCTCCCTTAAGCATCAGCTTCATTCCTCGAAGTGACTCCATGGCTTTTATGAAGTCTGTTGACTCCTGGTACTGGATAAAGGCCTCGAATGTTTGCAGACCAAAGCTAAAACTCCCAAAGCTCCCACCAGTCATCACTTCTCTGTAGGGGTCAAGCATAGGGATATCCACATTCTTGATTTTCCCAAAACTTTCAAAGACTACCCGAAGGATCTCCTCACATGGCTTCTCCCCACTGGAACCTTTAGGTGCAAACCATTTACAGGGCAAACCTTCAAAATATATGGAATCTGGGCTCTTATCATAGTCCTGCTCTTCAGCTCCATCACTTAATGAGGCCTCTTTTTCCTTAGGGAAGTGTTCCCACTCTCCCTGGGCATCTGTAGCCACTACTTTTAAGTCTGTTTTCAAACCATTTAGCTTGATGATCTTCCCATGTAACTTTGCCTTCAGGATCTGAACCAAACTTCGGGTTTCAGCCTCACCCTCAAATCTGATGAAGTCCTTTGTACTTTTAGAGAGCCGAACTGTGGTGAATTGGTCAGGGCAAATGAGATTCTTTAGTTGGTCAAGAACTTCCCAGTTAGAGAAGGGCCTCACAGGCTCTAGACTTTCTGGGAGCAATACATTGATCATCAATTTTGCTATGGGCTTGAGGTAGAGGTGCTGAGCAGCACAGAGCTCCGTTGCCTCAGAGTTATCATATACCACTGTGACCGTCATGGTATCCTCAGACCACCTTGGAGGGCAAAAGAGAAAATGTTGATACAAATGGAGATTTGGACTATGAAATGGGCCTAGCATTTCAGGACTCAGATCAAACTGAGAGAGGAAAGTACAGTATATTTTGAGTAGAATTTAAATCATTATTTTATAACTCTTGGAACTAATAAGTGATTACAGTAAAGTCACAAGACAGCTTTCTTATATGCACCCAAACAGAATTTGATATTTAAAACATGATATCATTTGCATTAGCATAAAATTACTTAAGTATAAATCCAGAAAAATATGAACAAGATCTATATGAGGAAAACTAAAAAACTCTGATAAAAGATATCAAAGAACTAAATACATGGATCATGGATATGAAGACCCAAGATATCACTTCTTTCTAATTTGACCTATAGACTCAATGCAGTCCCAATCAAATTCTCATTAAGTTATTTAGTCACTCATAAACTGATTCTAAAGTTTGTATGGAGAGGCAAAAGACTCAGAATAGCCAACTAGATATTGAGGGAGAGAAAAAATGCTGGAGAACTGATAATAATGGACATCAAGACTTACTATAAAACTACAGTAATAAAGACAGTGTGGTATTGGGAAAAAGATAGACAAATAGATCAATGAAAGAGGAGGAAGCCCAAAAATAGACCTGCATAAATAAAGTCAACTCATCTTTGCAAAAATGAGCAAAGGCAATACAATGGAATTAAGTCTGTTCAACAAATGGTGCTAGAACTATTGGAAATCCGCATGACATTGGGTATGATGAATGATCTTTTGGATGTAATACTAATGACATGATCCATGAAATAAATCATTGGTAAGCTGGATTTCATTAAAATTTAAAATTTTTGCTCTGTAAAAGACAATGTCAAGAGGATGAAAAAAGACAAGACACAGAAAAACTATTTGTAAAATATGTCAAATTGTTATGGTTTAGACCTAGAATCCCCCCCAAAGTCTCATGTGCTCAGAAGTGGGGCTTTTGGAAGGTGATAGGATCATGGGGGGACTAGATTAACCCACTGATGAGTTCATAGCTGAATGTGCTTTCAGAAGGTAGGAACTGTCAGAGGAGGCAAAGTCAATGGGGTTGTGACCTGGAAGGGTGTATCACCTTCCTAAGCGCTCTCTCCCTCCCTCCCTCCCTC